GCAGCGTCATTTATTGATCCAAGGTACCTGTGTTCAGAGAGAATGTTTGAAATGTCATCCTAGAGAACTCTCTCTAATAAACGTGCTAGTTTCTGTTTTAAAATTTGCCATTGTACCTTTTCATTGAGTCTTAAAAAAAATGTTTTATTTATTTATTGGTTATGAATATTCATGAGATATAAAGCTGATTGTCCTCCCTTGTGCCCAAGATGTGAAAGCTATATTCATACAATACAGTTTTGAAAGTAAGATATGAAGCCCTGAATATGACTAGATGCTTTTGAGTCAATATTCTGTGTTGTTTAATAGAACAAAAATTTGTCTCTGCAAATATTAGGAAGATCCCTACTACCCTTAGACAAATGAGAAGATCATTAATCATGTGTTATTAATTCTTTTAATACGCTATTGATCTCAGGATCAGGAGTGTCATTCATTTCTGTATTCCATATTTTCTCTATCCTATTTTCCATAGCAAAGACTACATGAACATATTAGGGTTTACAGGTGGGTCAGCAAGAAGAAAAAAAGTTTAGGGATGAATTCTACCAGCTCCTAAGGACAGGTGTTTTATATGCATTCAAGATCACAACATGAGATTCTTACTAGAGTATTTGGTAATTTGGGTAACTCTCTTGATAGGCCTAATTTTATCAAGTTCTTATATACCAACCACCATTTTAATCAAGTTATAACATAACTTGTTTGTTAGCAAGTGTTCTTGAAGCAACCTTTCCATAAAGGTTTTCAGATTTAAATAGTATACTAAGAACCTATCATCTCATTGTGGTGTCTGAAAGACAATAGGGCACAGTGTCCCTGTTGCTAAAAAATTGAAAAAAGTCTGGTGTTAAAGCAGGGAATAGCAATGAAAGCTTAGCCTCCAGTATGATAACATTGAAGGCTAACCAGACATTTAAATACGTGTCTTATCTCTTGTTTGCTTTTCTTCCTTCTTTAGGCAGGCCCTAGCGTTGGCTTCTCCAGCTTACCAAGACTACTCCCTAAGCAATGCCAAATGCCTGAAATTGTGTCCTTATACCCCAATGCTTAAATGTTTTTCTCTACCTGCCAAGACTGATGAAGTCAAGGTACTTAGAATACCAATTTCTTTATATTGTTCAAGTGTGTTCTGAAATAGGAAACAGCAAGTTTTCAGAAAAAGAAATCACAAATACCTGTTGATAGAACATTTACTTACTAGCATCCAGTTTAGGAATGGAAGATTTTTGCATGACTGTTTGCTAGTGAATGGGTCTTAATGATATTATCTCGTTCACCTTATACTAGGTGAGGCTTCCTATTAGGAGTTGCTTGGGGCCGGCCCATGGCTCACTCGGGACAGTGGGGTGCTGATAAAAACAAGGTCAC